ATAACTGGTTTTATTATCAATTTTAATTGAAATGTGGTTATAATTATGAATCCAAATTATTTAACTGATTTAAAAATGATTATGATTTGGTTTCTAAAAATAACCAACTATGCACACTCCTAAATCTAAGTCATCAAATGTAGGAAATAAAATATTATATTCTATTGTGCCCTTAAGAGATTTCATGATCCTCTTAAATACTTACATATGCGACAATTTAGATTCCTACATAAATATGTTGAAGTTGATATTTGTGTTGGGGAAATTTGTTTAAACCCTCGTATTGCTTAAGTTTTTGGACTGTTAATTGTATAAATATATAATGGCAACCTCACCCTTTGAGCTATCTTTTGAAATTTAGATCAAAACATATTTAATATGATATCTAAACATATTTAACATGATATAAGAGTCGGATTAACGACTGCAATGTGGACATTTGACTCAGGTCATACTAGATGTAAAGGTGATTGTTGAAGTTGATATTTATTTTGTTGAAGTTTGTTTGAAGTTTTACGTTGCTTAGATTCCCAAACTATTGATTGTATAAATATATAAGGGCAACATCACTCTTTAAGCTAGCTTTTAAGGTTAAGATTGAAATATATTTATCAAAATATACTTAGGCTTAACTGCAACTTTGGTCCCCCTATTTTGCATTTTTTTGAGTTTTGATCCTCCCATTTTAAAAACCACTATTTAGGTCCCCATTTTAAGTTTTAAGTTTGATATTAGTCCTCTTTCCATTTTAAATCATGTTTTAATGATGTGGCACATTGAATAAATATGTGGCATTTCCATGTCATTTTAAAATGGTCCTATTCACCAAATATCATTTCCATGTCATTTATTTTTATAACATTAATTTAAATTAGACATTACAATTACTTGACACAAATAGTTTTCATCCATTTGCAATTATTTTCAGAAAGATACGCGCAGGAATGAATATTCTTACTCTTCCCCTTTCACGCACGAAGACGAACTCTAATTAAAGAATTTGCAATTGCCCTTCCAAATCACCTCCCATTGTTGTTGTAGTAGTTAGCTTATCTCTGAAATGGAAAACCGAAGATACGTCTTGGGGTATGTTTCGTCACTCAACTCTGAATTCAAATATCCTAACACGCAATTGTCGTTTGTGTTCTGTCATATACAATGTTGTTCTGAAATTTCTCCTTTTGCGTTAATGTTGTGATTTGTTTATACTATGTTGTGAGTTGTTTATACTATGTTATGAGTAATGTCAGTATTGTGTGTTAATGTCAATGTGCGTTAATGTTATGATTTGTTTATACTATGTTGTGATTTGTTTATACCATGTAGTCTCAATTTGATGTAGTCCCTTTTTTGTCTTTGTTGTGATTTGTTTATGTTCTGTTGTAGGCCCTCTGATACCCACGTTGTGAGATTTAGAGTACACCATCGGGGACATTTAGTTCATAAGCCAGTTTTGTTGTATGTTGATGGGCTTGTAACTGAAATGAATTGGGATTGAAATGTGGACTTGATGTCCTATATGCAAATTGAAGATTTGATCAAAACTGAGGGGTATTGTAATATAAAGTGTTTATGGTATTGAAATCCTAACTTTTCCCTTTCTCATGGACTTTAGCCTCTAAACAATGATAATGATGTCTTAAGGTTAATGGAGGATGTTAGAGGATTTAAGGTAGTTGATATTTATGTTGAACAAAAAAATTGAAGAAATAAGTATTGAAGATGTTATTTTTGAGGAGGATAATGGTGAAAAAGTCAATGGTGAGAGAGAAAACGACGAAGTTAATGTTGAGGGAGAAAACGATGAAGTTAATGTTGAGGGAGCAAATGATGAAGTTAATGTTGAGAGAGCGAATGATGAAGTTAATATTGAGGGAGCAAATGATGAAGAATATGAAGAGTTTAATGGTGATGGAGTAGATGAAGAGGTTAATGTTGATGGAGTAGATGAAGAGGTTAGCGTTGATGGAGTAGATGATAATGCTAATATTGATGAAGTAGATGAAGAGAGTGAAACAAATCTAGATTATAGCGTGGGCAGTGAGGATGACGAGGAATAGGATGAAGATTTGGAAGATGAAATTGATGAGTTGAATTTAGGTGCTAAAGTTGGTATTAATTGGACGACAGTTTTACCTAATGCTACAGCAGAAAAATCTTCAAAGTTGGATGGTAATTCTGATAATGGTAGTTATTCAGATGTGCTTCAAACTCCACCCGATAGTGATGCTGAAGGTGATATGGAAAAGTTTCCAATCTTTAGGGAAATCACAAAACTTGAAGTAGGGATGATGTTCAAGGATAAAATGCAAATCAAAGATGCCATAAAGAAGTATGCAATGGAGAACAAGAAGAATCTCGTGTTCAAGAAAAATGACAAGAAGAGAATGGTTTTCAAGTGTTTAGATGGTTGTCCATTTTATATTAGGTTTAGCATGAGGACTACCAACCAATATTGGCAACTCGTTAGCTTAACTGATCGTCATAGTTGTCATAGAACAACCAAGAATAGACAAGCAAAAACAAATTGGTTGGGTCGCCAATTTGTGTACACTATAAGACACACTCCTGAAATAAAAACCAAAGGGATGATTGCATAAGCTATTAAGAAGTGGGGGTGAAGTTGTCAAAGGATCAAGTTTATAGAGCCAAGAAAAAGGCAATAGAGTTGATTCAAGGTGCTGGTCGTAAACAATTCACACATCTTAGGAGCTATGTTGAGGAGTTGTTAAACTCAAATCTAAACTCCACTGTTAAAATTAAATGTGATGATTCAAATGGTGGTCCTGTCTTTGATATAATATATGTATGCCTAGAAGCTTGTAAGACAATGTTTGAAAAGACTTGTAGGCCTCTAATAGGAATGGATGCTTCTTTTCTTAAAGGGGACTTTGGAGGTCAGTTAATAGGTCTTGTTGATAAGGATGAAAATAACAAGATTTATCCAATCGTTTATGCCATCGTGGAAGCTGAAACGAAAGACTTTTGTCAATGGTTTCTTAAGTTGTTATTAGAAGACTTGCAATCTATTCAATACAACAAATACGAATTTATATTAGATCAACATAAGGTTAGTTTTACAATGCTATTTACATTACAATGCGGCTATGTGCTATTTACAATGCCATTTACATTACAGTGCTGCTATGTGCTATTTACAATGCTATTTACATTACAGTGTTGCTATGTGCTATTTACAATGCTATTTACATTACAGTGTTGCTATGTGCTATTTACAATGTTGGCTGTTACATTACAGTGTTGCTATGTTAAGTTCGGATTCTATGTTGGATTCATGTTTTATGTGCTATGTGTTATTTGTCGGCTGCTATGTTGGGTTCAGGTTTTATGTGATATGTGTTACTTGTTAGCTGCTATGTATTACCTCTTCTTCTTATACCATACCCAAACTGATTTGTTGACGAAAAAAATTCATTTCAGACATGTTGGTAAGTAGGAGACACGTTGGGTTTGTGAAGAAGAGTATGAAGAAACTTTGAAGAAATGAGTTTCGAAATATATGGACGGCTGAGTTTGAAGAAATGGCTGAAGAAACTTTGAAGAAATGAGTTTGAAAATACATGTTAGGGTTTTATAAGATTGATATTAATTTCCTGAAAATGAAATCAAAAAATAAATGACATGGAAATGATATTTGGTGAATAGAAAATGTGGAATTGACATGAAAATGCCACATCTTCTTTCAACGCGTCACATCATTAAAAAAATTACTCAAAATAGCAAGAGGATTAATATCAAACTCAAAACTTTAAATGGAGACCTAAATAGTAGTTTTTAAAATGGGGAATCAAAATCCAAAAAAATGCAAAATAGGGTAACCAAAATTACAATTAAGTCATATACTTATCACACCGTGATATAAAATAACTAAAATACCATTTTAGAATAAAAATTACACAAATATTTTATTTGAAACTTTTGTTACATTCTTTATAAAAAAAATTTAACAAAAATTATTTTAAAAAAAAACTAAAAGAAACCACCCTTAGTGTGTCTTTCAATCATTGTTGATCATAGAAAAGTTGTGCACTTATCATTGATATTGATTTTTTTTAAGGGTGGCAAAACGGATCGTGGCCCACCGAACCGGTCTGACACCCGTCAAAAAATGGTAGGCTGGGTTGGAATTTTGTTCCTGCCGTCCATCAAAGTCCGCCCCGTTAAAGACCGTCACCCGCCAAAGTCCGCCGCCCGTTAAAATCCGCCGCACATATTCGTTCAACTTGTCTCACCTTAAACCTGGTCTTTTTTTTTTTGTTAATTCTAATAATTTCAATTCTTAATAATTTTATTTTATACATTTATTTCAGAATATATACAACATTTTTTAAAGTAAATTTTGTTAAAAATATACTTTATAAAAATTATTCTAAAAAATAAGAAAAAAATAAAAGTAGGCGGGTCGCCCGTTAACCCGTTATTTTAACGGAACGAATTAAATTTTTATACTCATTTTTATTTAACGGAATTGTCCGCTCTAATTTTTTTTATGAACTTAAAATGGGATGGGATGGGACGGGACGGGACTGGGCGGGGTTGGCGGCCCGTTTTGCCACCCCTAGATTTCTTAGCTAATTGCTTTAATCATTCCCAGCCTCAAATCATTGTGCCTCAATGTTCTCCAATGTCACTAAACCTCCAAAATTCACGCTGCTAAATTTTCCAATCAAATCTGTAACGCGATCTACCCTTTAATTCTTGGCGGTACAAGTATTCCCTACCTGTTGTAAAATAATAATTAAAAAAGCCAATTCCCCACCACAATAATTATCTACCCCTTTATTTATTTAATAATTGACCTTAACTATTGAAGAAAAGGCATCAATATGTCCCCGCCTGTGACCTAAATATTCCACCTACATAATATTAAAACCACTTTTGGTCCCATAGCTCAACAAACTCATCAATCAGTTCCGTTATAAATTTGCTATTGGCACCTATAGTTTACATTAAGAAAAAACAAACTCAACAAACTCATTATGTCTGAGGGAAGAGGCAGTGCATCTATGAACATGGTGACTGTGATGATTTCACTACTACTCCTTTTGTTTCTGTCTGAAAATTCTGAAGCAGCAACTTACACCGTTGGAGGACCTGGAAGATGGACCTACAACACAGATACTTGGCCTAATGGAAAAACGTTTAGAGCCGGTGATGTGCTCGGTAAGTTTATCTTAAGTTAAAGGATTTTGTCACTAATTAACGTTATACGTAAGTAATATGGGAATTGGTTATTGCAGTTTTCAACTACGATTCAACGATACACAATGTTGTTGCTGTGGACAAAGGTGGATATGGAAGCTGCAAGGCACCAGGAGGTGCTAAAGTGTTCAGTTCAGGGAGTGATCAGATTAAGCTAGCAAGAGGGCCAAACTACTTCATATGTGGCATTCCTGGTCACTGCCAATCTGGGATGAAGGTTTTCATCAATGCAGTTTAGTGTTTAAGCTAAGTGATTAGCATAATTAGTTAATTAAGGGTTAATTAGTTAGTGATTTGGATCTCTTTATTATATGTTTATTAGCTGGTAATAGCTGTTATATGTTAATTTATATGTATGTAAAAGGAGTGTGTGAGTGAGGTGGCTTTCTACTTATATATATGAAACTCTTATGTTTGTTTGTGTGGTGTGCTGTGAGAGAATATATATGAAAGAGAATTTTAAAAATATTAAAAAGTTGAGATATTATTTGATGGTGTTAACTCCCCTTCTTGTACTGTTGAATATTTGTATGAACATTTTATTCTTTTGAGAATATCACCCAAATATATTTTAAGGACAAATGGAATTAAATAACTTTTTCTACACAATTTAAACACATTAGCAAAAACATAAAAATTATAGACAATTCAAGTTTCTAAACTTAAGCTAATAGAGACATTAGATGAAGGGGTACTAGTTCGAACTTAAGCTAATTGAGACATCAGATGAAAGGGTATCAGTTCCAACTTGCAACATTTTACTTTTAATATTAAAAAAAATAGTAAGTTTGAACCACTAAACTATTTAAAAAAAATTGTTTCCAATCTTCTTTTCATATTAAAAATATATTATAACATTTTTTTACATTAACAATGTTCAAACCTTTTATGTAATTTTAACTATAGTTTCACCATGGTTAAAATATAAAATTAGGGTTTAGAAAATAGTCTAATTTAATCCATCAACATTTGTAGCAATATTATATTTTTACTCGCTATTTAATGATATTTTGTATTCAAAAATAAACTTTAACTTCATGAAAGTTGTAGATATTGAAGTTAGTATTCTTTTTATGTTGGTCTTATCTCAATTGAAGTTATAAAACTTCATATATGATCAAAAATACTACATAGAGGTAAAATTGAATTTGTACCGACGTCCAGCTATTTAATCAAACTACATGATATATTGTGTTTAATCTGACATGGAAATTGACATCGTTAGAATAGCGTCGATATGTCATGTGTAGTGTCGTTATTAGATGATTGTTAATATTTTTAATTATTTTTTAATGTTTGAATCGCACTGATGTCTTGTGCTAATGTCTCTTTGGCATGTTGACATTGAATCGCGCTACTTTGGAATATAGGTATTTGATACGGAAAAAATTATATGACAGGATTTCATGAGACTAAAATGGGCTGGAAGTATAACTGATCACCTCACTATAGTCCAATAATACAATAACTATGAAGAGAAACTTCTAGCAACATAGTTAAAGAGGAATAAATGATCGCAAAACTAAACAAATAACTGATCGGCCAAAAGAGATCCAAATCGGTGTTGTGATTACATAGACCATAATACCCAGCGAGACTCCCCAATCTAGGTTTTTATCCTACACCAACCTCAATGCATTAAGGGAAAAGGTTTTGCAAGAATGCCCAAACAAAAGTTTCAAGGAGTCACACACAAATGACAAGACCAAAATTTTCCATATTCACAATAGGCATGGGCATAACAAAGAAAAGTGTGTCCATCTAAAAGATGCCATAAAGGAGCTGATAAATAAGAGGAGATAAGGCTCATACATGTGAAAAGATGATTAAAAGGACGATTGTGAAAAGACAAAGGGGTCTCCTAGGGAATCAAAGAGACGAGATCACTCACCACAAAAGAAGTGACATTTTCGACGAGACAAAGGCCAAAGGAGGGAAAGATAGAAGTAACAACAAAGAAGAGGATTGAAGATGAGAGCTCCATCACTAGAGGTATTCCCCATTCAAAGATTCTGCCTAAGGTGATGGTTAAACAAAAAATTACTGAGATAATGGTAATCAGCAAAAAGAAGGAAACAACCTCTGAAGATAAACCACAGAGGTCCATCCTCGGACTCAAAGATAGTGATAATGTAGATGGGATCCCAAATGAGATTTTTCCCTTGGTTATAATAACGATCGTGGAAATATTTTGATGTATCAAGACTCCTCGTCGACATGGGACGCTCATGTGAAGTTATGTATGTATAACTCTTTGAGAAGAATCGGTTGACAAAAGAAATGATGTCTATGTATATGAGATCTAACCTACAAGCTTTTAATGGAACATTAAACCATATGTGGGGCATTGTTGAGCTTATGGTCAGGTTTGGTGAAGGAAGAGACACCAGGACGATATGTTTACAATTCTTAGTACTCTTGTAAAAAAGCGTGTACAACTACACTATGGGATGATTCTTCGCTGCAACCTTTGTTATTGTGGCTTCCCTTATCCACTTGAAAATGAAATACCATAGTGTCCAAGATGAACTAGTGACGATATGTGCGAACTTATCAAGATTCTAACACATACAAAAGTCTTTGCAATCTAGCCAAGAAACATCACTTTTCGGGTAAAATAAGAAATTCACACTAGAAGTCAACATCGCCAATGTAAACAATTGCATATAAATAGTAGTAATTGATCATCATATCACAATACCGATGTCCAAACGTTGGTAAAATATGATATATTTTGATTGAATGAGTACATGCGTCAACAATGAGAAATAGTGTCAAACCAATCCTTAAAATAAAGGACGACGTTAATACATCATAAACCCCACCACAATGGTCAACTCAACATACTCCAATGCGAACAAATTCACCACCAAATAGATACCTTTGTGGATAATAAAGCAGCAACTAGTTCGTTTTATTAAGTACTTTTACCCATCTATGTAAATCCTTACTATGTAAACTTTCCACTTTCAGCAACCAAACGATTCTTCATCAAATTTCATTCCTTTATTATTACGTAAAAAAAAAAGTAAATACTAAGTCAGAGGGTTGCTATCATAAATATTGAAAACGTGACTCCAAACACAAGAAGGGAGTGAATTGTGATATTTCAATTTCATTTTTATTTTGGAAAAACAAATGATTTTCAAAAGATTAATTTTATGAAAATGAAATAAGCAGAGAATAAGCAACATAAATAAATATTAGATAAATAAAGAGATAGGTTAAGAAATATCATACTAGAGTTCCTTTTATGAATCCACTAAAAATAACTTGAGTATTTACAAAGGTTCATGTCAAAAATATTACACTAACAACTTGAACTTATACACAGGTTTAACTTTACAACCTTACACCAAAAACGTGAGCTTTAATGTAGGTTGAGCCCAACAACCTTACACCAAGATCTTTTACAATTTTAACTTACAACCTTAAAATATATTACAAGATCACAAAATAACTAAGTCTTTTAATAAACAAATTCATCACAACAATAGAACAACACAACTCTCATATTAAGCTTTTTACTTTATCATCACTAAGGTAAAATATAGTGAATAAAACTTATATAAGAAATAGAATGAGTAGGATAGGGGAAATGACTATTAAGATAATTTGTGTGTTTAGAAGGGATGAAATTACTCTTTTATATAGGAAATAGTTTGGCTTAAAAGGCAACAATCCATGAGTTTGGTCGCTTCTTAATCGATCAGTACAACAACCTAATCAATTACATTAGGATAGAAAATGAAACACTAATTTGAGACGTCACTTAATTAATTAACAAAGCTACCTAATCAAATAGGAAAATTAATATTTCTGTAATCTATTATAGGAAGATACTAATCGATTAGACATTTGAGTTTTGCTTTCCTAATTGATTAGAATGTTTTTTGATAGATTATGTACTCGCCAAGGTTAATTTTAAACAAGTTTAAGAAAATATGAAGAGTTTCAAAAGGTTTGTGTGTGTGTGAAGGTTAATTTTAAACATGTTTTAAGAAAATATGAAGATTTTCAAAAGGTTTGTGTGAGTGTGTGTGTGTGTGTGTGTGTGTGTGTGTGTGTGTGTGTGTGTGTGTGTGTGTGTGTGTGTGTGTGTGTGTGTGTGTGTGTGTGTGTGTGTGTGTGTGTGTGTGAGTGTGTGTGTGTGTGTATGTGTATGTGTGTGTGTGCGTGTGTGCGGGCGCGCGCGCATCGCTTTTGTATTGAAAGACTTATTCTTACTTCATTTACATTTAGCTGATCAAAATACAGGATATAACATTAAACTCAGAATCATACGAGCTTTCACAATTTCACAAATTTAGTTTCTTTCGATTACTTGATTTAACTTTGTTTATATGTCTTTACCGAAACTTTGAAAATGTTTTCTTATGATTGTGTGATTCTTGTAATTTATTCTTTATTGTTCAGTTATCATCATCAAAATCTTTAGAAGGCATTAATGTATACATCATGTATGACCACATTATCTCCCTTTATCTCTCAGGGAGGTGGTAAAACAAAAAAAAAATATATAGAAGAAAATATCAAAGTTTTAAAGTTCCCCCTAATTAATAAAGAGAATATACTCTACTCCCCTTGAGAGTAAACATCACATAAAACACATATATAACATTGAATAATTCAAAAAAAAGAAGGATAAGAAGCCCTTAAATAAATTAATTCATGCATTATTGATTTAAGATTCCTAACTAAGTTCTTATAAAAAAAATATTTTAGAACGAGTTTTGTAAAAATATCTTTCATTTGTTTAGATGAAGACACAAATTCAACTACAGAATCCCTTTTTCCGACATGATCCCTAACGAAATTGTGCATAATCTCAATGTGTTTCGTCTGTGAGTAAATTACCAGATTCTTAATTGATACAATTTTAATATTAACTCCATAATCACTTAACTCTTGATTCATACAACTAACTTGTACACAATATCTATCTGCAACGATACACCACTTAAACTTTTCCAATCCATTTTACAACCTACAAAATTAGAATCATAGTACCCACCTAAAGCACAATTAGTCTCTTTTAGGTACCATAAATCCATAAGGTGATAGGGAGATACCTCATAATGCGTTTGACCGCAGAGAGATGTGATTCTTTAATAATTGCTTGAAAATGTAAACACTAACATATATCAAATATAATATCAAGACGTGATATAGTAAGGTAAAAAAGGGAACCAATAATACCTCAATATTTGCTTTCTTAAATTGCATTTCTTCCTTTGA